TATACATATATACATATACATATATGTATATACATATATGTATATATGTACATATATTTTATTTTCGCAAGATTTATAAAACTAACTTTAAATAATTTAAAAAACTTACGAAGTTCGATAATTAATTTATACCAACGCGGGTCAAAAATTGGGTGTCAACATCTGTCCCTCATTTTACTTGGGTTGATGCAAGCAACTCGAGGAAAATGAAGTTGACCGAACCAATTTTGACCAACTCCATTCGCTTTTAAGAAGAAGGATTTGACAAAGAGTTTAGGAATTATGGCCGAACCCTTGCAAACGGGTCTCCTACATATCTCAGGCTATATGAGAATTCAGGCCACTTGTAGTTCGATAAGCTTGATTTACCGCACGATTTCAAAGAATCAAAATCCACCTCGACACCGAATTATGAAGGTATCGAAATGCTCGAGAATAGAATTCGAGAGCGAATGTTGGAATACAGCCGAGTTTTCAACATTGAACCCGCCTACATACCCTTAAACCTTCGGAATCAGGCTGTGTGTAGTTCGACTCGATCGTTGGAAAAGGAAAACTATTATGCTAGCTAACCTTCGGTTTTGGACGAGTGACACATTAAACGAGTATGAAAAAGAGGCTTGTAACCTCTTAGCCATGAATGTGGCACGCTTCACACTCATAATTAAGAACTTACACAGACATAATTTCCAAATCTTTTGGCGTATTGTCACTCAGATTGGAAACTTGCTTCCGATGAAACAAAACTTTCGGTAGCGAGACAGAAACTGACAGAACTAGAGAAAACCCGTAAGCCTCGAGAGGGTGGTTCGATTGTGGTGGAAGTCGCTCCTCTGCTCGCGTCCTAAGAGTTTGACATTCCTCTTTGGACTATGTCCCAGTTCGCTGCTAAGAAAAGTTCCACGTTGTGTTGCATCCTTTTTTATGTCGTCCGCACCTGTGGTTTTTGGAGAATTCATTCTTTTGGATGCTCTCGACAAAGACTGAGATAAAACTCGTCAGCTATGCAATTAGGATGGGAGACAGTGTCTTTTACCATGTCGACACTTCATTGTTCTCCTCCATGTTCGACGTCGACTCGATCGGTCTGACGTCCAGCAAATAAAGCTTATGCCTTGTGTTTTGCAATATCATCTTCAATGTATTCCATACTTGATGTCGAAATAAATAAATAAATGCTGATGCGATATTGATGTTTCTTTCGTTGTCATCTTCGATGCTCTCCATGATGTTTATTTTTATAAGAAATAACAGAATGCAGTCGAGGCCAATGGATAAGTATTGCTCTTTCGTTATTCAAGTACGTCCTCTTGCGAGGCATGAATATCTTCCCGCGGTACGTAAATTTCCGCGAGAAATGAATCTTCTCGCGATGCATAACAATTAGCGAGGAATAAAATCTTCTCGCGATGTGCAAATTTTGACGAGGCATGAAATCTTCTCGTCATGCATAATTATGGACTCGCGATGCATGATTTCCGCGACGCATGATTCCGCGATGCATGATTTCCGGCGAGGCATAAATTCTTCTCGCGATGTATAAATTTTGACGAGGCATGAAATCTTCTCGTCATGCATAATTATGGACTCGCGATTCATGATTTTCGCGATGCATGATTCTGCGATGCATGATTTCCAGCGAGGCATAAATTCTTCTCGCGATGTATAAATTGTGACGAGGCATGAAATCTTCTCGTCATGCATAATTATTGACTCGCGATGCATGATTTCCGCGATGCATGATTCCGCGATGCATGATTTCCAGCGAGGCATAAATTCTTCTCGCGATGTATAAATTTTGACGAGGCATGCAATCTTCTCGTCATGCATAATTATTGACTCGCGAAGCATGATTTCTGCGATGCATGATTCCGCGATGCATGAATTCCAGCGAGGCATAAATTCTTCTCGCGATGTGTAAATTTTGACGAGGCATGAAATCTTCTCGTCATGCATAATTATTGACTCGCGAAGCATGATTTCCGCGTTGCATGATTTCCAGCGAGGCATAAATTCTTCTCGCGATGTATAAATTTTGACGAGGCATGAAATCTTCTCGTCATGCATAATTATTGACTCGCGATGCATGATTTCCGCGATGCATGATTCCGCGATGCATGAATTCCAGCGAGGCATAAATTCTTCTCGCGGTGTATGAATTTTGACGAGGCATGAAATCTTCTCGTCATGCATGATTATTGACTCGCGATGCATGATTTCCGCGATGCATGATTTCCAGCGAGGCATAAATTCTTCTCGCGATGTATAAATTTTGACGAGGCATGAAATCTTCTCGTCATGCATAATTATTGACTCGCGATGCATGATTTCCGCGATGCATGATTTCCAGCGAGGCATAAATTCTTCTCGCGATGTATAAATTTTGTATTGCCCCCGTGAATAGTAACGACAAGACGACCTCCAAATAATATATCGACTTGATCGATAATGATAAAAATAATAATTGCATAGCTGTCTCTTCTGAGGTAATGCATTGTCTTGATCGACAATAATCATCTTGCTTTGATAACGCAATGCAAATAGCGTCTTCTTATAGCAATCGTGAAATCTTCGCTGAGATTCCCTTTTGATTCACCTTTGGATCTGGCCAGGCACTTAGTAAATTTCATGTATTGGGGAATGGCTTGAAATAAACAAACCCATTCACAAGCATCTTGGCATAAAGATATGAAATGCTTCTTGCTTTCAATAAAATCACCGGCTTTGGAGATAGTTTTCTCCTTCTCCGTATTCATCAGTCGGAAGAATTCGGCCGATTTCGAAGCGAAGCTATAAACCTGCATCCACAGAAAAATTGTCAGTTTTAAACTGATCTGTGTCGATCCCTTCGGTTGTTTGCTCCTTGTCTTGACGTCCTCGGTTGATTTTCCGATTTCCCGACTCTTGATAGATTAGAAAATATCTTATGCCAAAACAGATGAAATATAAAAGGGAAACTTTTAAGAGAAGCAAGAAATTTTTTAAGAAATAGTATCTCGAAAAAGTCACTGCCAAGTCATGTCATGTCAGGCTTAACGAGCTTCTTTGAGTCCGACGCTTGTCGAATGAATTTCAGAGGCATTCCGGACTTGTAGGGAAGTCCCATGACAAAATTTTGAGGCCATCCTCAAAATTTCTGTCCCAGTTTAGTATCTTGCTCCTCTTTCCATTGTAATCGCACAGATCTCGGAATTTTTGAGATCTTCTCAAAAATTCTGTCCCAGTCGCAAATTCAAAATGTCTTTAGTTTGATCCGCTGAAGAGAAGGTTCCTTCTGGAGAATTTTTGAGTCCCTCTCAAAAATTTTATCCCAGTTTCTATTGTAGAAGGGGGGAATAGAATTTACGAGATATATGACCGAGTCCTTGTGGCGCCTACGTATCCCGTTGCGGCAGGAATTAGGTCAAACGTAGTTCCCCTTAACGGTTAACAAGAATAAATTTTACAAAGAAACCGACCGAGGCCGATGAAGGCCGCCTACGTATCTCATTCTTGAGAATTCAGGTCGAACGTAGTTCATTACAGGAGGGATAAGAGTTCAAATTCGAACAAATACAAGCAAACAGAAGATTACAAGTAAATGATGGAAAATGCAAAACGAACTTCACGCGTAATATCTCTTGACAGCATCTGAGTTGATAGGCTTGGGCCATACAGCACCATCCATCTCTGACAAGACTAAAGCACCTCCAGATAGTACTTTGCGAACCATGTAAGGACCTTGCCAGTTTGGTGCGAACTTTCTTTTGTACTCGTCTTGATGAGGAAAAATACGCTTAAGAACCAACTGACCAACTTCAAAATTTCTGGCTCTTACTCTTTTGTGAAAAGCGCGAGTCATTCTTTGTCTATACAACTGGCCATGGAAAACAGCAACCATCCTCTTCTCATCAATCAAGGCTAGTTGATCAATCCGCTTACTAACCCATTCAGCATTACTTAGCTCAGCTTCTTGGATGATCCTCAATGACGGTATCTCGACTTCAATCGGCACGACTGCTTCGGTACCATATACTAGCAAGTATTGAGTAGCCCCGGTCGATGTTCTGACCGTTGTTCGATAACCTAGTAGAGCATATGGCAACATTTCATGCCAACCTCGCTGCTTGTCAATCATTTTCCTCAGAATTTTCTTAATATTCTTGTTGGCGGCCTCTACAGCTCCGTTCATTTGAGGGCGATAAGCAGTTGACCTTCGGTGAATAATCTTGAATTGTTCACATATCTCTTTCATCAGATGACTGTTGAGATTTGCACCATTATCAGTGATGATGGATTCTGGAACCCCAAATCGGCATATCAGATTGTTGCGGACAAAGTCGGCCACCACTTTCTTGGTTACTGATTTGTAAGAGGCTGCTTCCACCCACTTGGTGAAATAATCAATGGCAACCAAAATAAATCTGTGTCCATTGGAAGTGGCCGGTTCTATAGGGCCAATGACATCCATTCCCCAAGCTACAAATGGCCAAGGTGAACTCATAGCATTGAGTTCATGAGGTGGCACCCTTATCAAATCTCCGTGCACTTGACATTTATGGCATTTTTGCACGAATTTGCAACATTCGTTCTCCATAGTCATCCAGAAGTAACCGGCTCGAAGGACTTTTCTTGCCAAGGTAAGCCCGTTCATATATGTACCACAAACTCCAGCATGTATCTGTTCAATAAGCCTTACGGCTTCGGCGGCATCCACGCACCTCAAAAAACCCAAATCTAGAGTCCTCCTATAAAGGACTTCTCCATTCAAAAAGAAATTGAAAGCCATACGACGTATCGACTTCTTTTGATTAGATGTGGCATCTTCTGGATATGCTCCAGACTCCAAATACCTCTTTATGTCTAAATACCAAGGCAAACCATCTGGTTCTGATTCCACGTGTGAACAATGGACTGGATGCTCCTTCAAATCTATATCCAGCGGGTCGATGTAATCAATATCCGGATGTTTGATCATTGAAGCGATGGTGGCAAGAGCATCAGCTAATTCATTCTGTATTCGGGGAGTATGTCTGAACTCGATCTTGCGAAACCTTTTACACAGGTTTTGCACATATTGTACGTAAGGTACAATCTTCGGGTTCTTCACAGCCGATTCTCCTTGAACCTGATGGATCAAGAGGTCTGAATCTCCGATAACCAGTAACTCGTAAACATTAATGTCAACGGCCATTTTCAAACCGAGAATGCAAGCTTCATACTCAGCCATGTTGTTTGTGCAGTTGAATCGTAGTTTAGCCGCCATAGGATAGTGCTGACCAGATTCTGATACCAAGACTGCTCCAACACCTTTACCCTGGTGATTCACCGCTCCATCGAAGAATAATCTCCAACCTGGATAAGCTTCAGAGATATCTTCACCCACAAATGACACTTCTTCATCGTGAAAATACATCTTGAGAGGTTCATACTCTTCGTCAACGGGATTTTCCACAAGATGATCAGCCAAAGCTTGTGCCTTTATTGCCTTCTGAGTCACGTACACGATGTCAAACTCACTCAACAGCATTTGCCATTTAGCTAGCTTCCCGGTCGGCATCACTTTCTGGAAAATATACTTCAACGGATCCATCCTGGAGATAAGATATGTAGTATACGATGACAGGTAGTGCCTCAGCTTCTGGGCAAGCCACGTCAGAGCACAGCATGTTCTTTCCAGCAAAGTGTAACGAGACTCGTACGGAGTAAATTTCTTGCTGATGTAGTAGATAGCCTTTTCCTTCTTTCCTGTCTCGTCGTGTTGACCAAGTACACAACCAAAGGCATTATCCGAGACAGACAAATATAGCAACAAAGGACTCCCTTCTCGCGGAGGAACCAATACTGGTGGGTTAGACAAGTAGCTCTTGATAGCGTCGAAAGCGGTCTGGCACTCCTCAGTCCACTTAATTGGGGCATCTTTCTTCAGCAACTTGAAGATAGGCTCACATACCACCGTCGATTGTGCTATAAACCGGCTGATATAGTTTAACCTCCCTAAGAAGCTCATCACCTTTTTTCTCGTCTTTGGCGGAGGTAACTCCTGAATTGCTTTGATCCTGAATTGCTTTGATCTTGGAAGGGTCGAGCTCAATACCTCTTCTGCTGACTATAAACCCTAACAATTTCCCAACTGGGACTCTAAAAGCACATTTGGCGGGGTTTAACTTCAAGTTGTATCTACGCAAACGTTCAAAGAATTTTCGCAGGTGTGTCATATGATCTGAACTCTCGCGGGATTTGATTATAACATCGTCCACGTACACTTCAATTTCCTTGTGAATCATGTCATGAAAGATGGTCGTCATGGCTCTCATGTAGGTAGCACCGGCGTTTTTGAGCCCAAACGGCATCACCCTGTAGTGATACACCCCCCAAGGTGTGATGAAGGCCGTTTTCTCCGCGTCTTCCTCATCTATCAGAATCTGGTGATAACCCGCGTAACAATCCACAAATGACTGCATCTCATGTTTGGCACAATTGTCAATCAGAATATGGATATTTGGCAACGGGAAATTATCCTTTGGACTAGCCATGTTGAGATCTCTGTAATCAACACAAATCCTGATTTTTCCATCTTTCTTGGCGACCGGAACGACATTTGCCTACCAGGTGGGATATTGCGTTACTTCTACCAACCGAGACTCTATCTGCTTTGTGATTTCCTCCTTAATCTTCAAACTTAATTCAGGCTTGAATTTCCGAGTCTTTTGCTTCACCGGCTCGAACCCTGGGTTGATAGGCAACTTATGAGATACGACATCAGTACTCAACCCCTGCATGTCACCGACCTCCCAAACAAACACATCGCTGTATTCGGCAAGCAAATGAATCAGGCTCTCCTTCTGAGTTTCATTCAGGTGAGTGCTGATCTTAACCTCTTTGACACATTCTGAATCTCCCAAATTTACCGTCTCTGTTTCCTCCAGATTCGGTTTATGTTGATTCTCGAACTGTCGAAACTCTTCTACTACATAGTCTGGTTCCCCATTTTCTTCATCGTAGTCGTCAGCCTCGTCGTCATTTGCCTCATTTTGTTCGTTTAGCTCATGACATGACATGACGTTGGCAGGTTTGTAACTTACGTTACTGAAATCATAAACAGACAAAATTAGAAGAGTAAAATATAACAAGCAATCGAATGAACAAAGTCAAAATAAGGAGGCTTTCATTTAAATTGAATCAAAATGCAAAGTTGGGTCATGGCACAAGGCCATGTCGCCCTTTAAACAGTCATAACAAAATTCAAAATCAAGAAAATGTAGAAATGGTGGGTCTCGGGCCTCTTCCGAACGACCACCGATTTTGACATGCACAAAATAATTCCTTTCTACCCAAAAGTCCGGGACATCAGGATTGGTGCGGACGTCCAATTCTTCAGCATCTCCCCCGGTTCAGCATCACGAAAGCCAGCTGGCTCAGCCTCCTCCTCTATGACGGCATTGATCTCCTTGAACAGGTCACAGATTCCTTCCCCGTCGTCTTCAGGCTCGGCATGCTCCCAAACTGGAAAGGAGTGATAGAGATACGGGATCGACTTAGTTAACTCTTGATCCCTTCTCCTCTTCATCTTCATATCATCATCTGTGGGGATGTACCCCAAACCATACTTTCATCCCTGAGCAAGGACCGAAACAGGCTCAATAATTCCTTGGGAATCTCTTCCCAATCCGAAACCTGGCTCGAACCCATTTTGCAGCATCACCGTGGCTATCATTTTGTACACGGTTGGCATGGAGTTGAGGGCCAAATCTTCGTTGGTGGCATTCACCAGCTCCACTATGTAAAAGTCTGCGCCTCGCGGCATCTTATCAATGACCGACACCTGCTTGCCCGAGCGACTTCCCTCGCCGTGAATCACTAACTCTTCATTTTTCCATACAATCTTCATCATCTGATGGAGAGTAGAGGGGACGGCTCCAGCCATGTGGATAAACGGCCTTCCCAAAAGAAGGTTGTAGCTAGTGTTTATGTCCAATACTTGGAATTGTGCACTGAACTCTGCGGGGCCCATTTGAAGGGTCAAAGTCACAGCCCCTAAAGTGTCTCTTTGCACACCATAAAATGCCCTTACATTGACCTGATTCTGCTCCAGTTTCCCAAGGTCAAAATTTAGTTGCCTCAACGTCGTCAATGGGAAAATATTTAAACCGGACCCATCATCTACCAAAACACAGTTGACAACCTTTCCACGACATATCACGGTAATGTGTAGCGCTTTGTTGTGGGATCTTCCTTCGACTGGCAACTCATCGTCACAAAAGCTGATCCGGTGCCCCCGAATGACTTGATGAATCATAGCGGCCACGTTATCACTACTTGTACCTGAGGGTACGTATGTATCATCAAGAGCTTTCATTAAGGCCTGCCTGTGGGACTGAGAGCTCATCAACAGGGCCCACACGAAGATTTGAGCCGGAGTCTTCTCTAAATGTTTGACGATGGAATAGTCCTTCGGTTGCATCCTTCTCCAGAATTCTTCTGCTTCCCCCTCGCTTATCGGCCTCTTAGCATGGTCCTTCTTCTGTCCTCCGAGAGCAAGCTCACCAAGAGTGTAGCACCTTCCGGCTCTGGTCATGCCTTGGGCCACGATGGTTTCAATGACAAATTTGGGCTTAACGAGAGTTTTCGAAGGCACCAAGGCAACAGCCTTTGCAGGTGTCAGAATAACAAACTCCCTCCTTTCCTTGACGCTTGAAGAAGCGACAACCCTTTCCAAGTCCTCATGCACAATAGGGGTAATCATCTTTGTTCCACACCCGTCTTCATCCATTTCAATCATATTAAGGTTGTCACCTCCATGATTTGGCAACAGATTTGTGTTGACGTTTGGCACCGCCGGTTGAAGAGAAACTACCTCCTGATCGATCAAGTCTTGGATTTTATGCTTAAGGTTGATGCAATCTTCCGTGTCATGTCCAACACTGTTGGAATGAAAAGCACACCTTTGATCCGGCCTGTAGAACTTTGAGTTGACATCCACGGGTCTGGGCCCCACAGAGTGGATGTATCCATCTGCGACTAGCCTCTCAAATAGTTTGGTCCGGCTTTCAGCAAGTGTGGTAAATTTTCTTGAAGGCTTTTTTTCAAATCTCGGTCGAGAAGTATCATAACCACTTTGCCGAGGGGGAGGCACCCGCTGATAATTTTGGGTATTTGTACGAGGAGCTTGGCTCCGGTGATAAGGGTTTGCCTGGAAATTTGGCATTGGAGCTTGGTAATTCGGGAGGGGGTCCTGGTATAATGGAGCTTGGACTTGATAAGTGGGCGGAGGTGGTCGGTAGCTCGACTGTACGTTGGCACAGTTGGGAGCAATATTCTGATAAGGGGATGGGATCTGGTTTGGTTGAGGGTAATTTGGGTATATGGGAGAAAAATTTTGGAGATTAGAGGGTGGACTTTGGTACGACGAAATTTGAGCATTCTGATAAGTGGGGACAGCATTGTGGTTATTAGGATGATTGGGTTGTGGGTAGTTGGATCGGTAAGACTTTGGGGAAGGCCTGGAACGATCTTGGGAATGTGACGGGTTTCTAGGGGTTTTTCTTCCCCCATACGAGACAGCGGCAACTTCCTCTCTTCTCTTTCTTATCAATCCTGAAGACCCAGGCGACGCAGATACACGGGCTATCTTCCCCGATTTTAGACCATCTTCGATAGTCTCACCAACTTTGACTATCTCAGCAAATTTAGCTCCGACCAGCAACATGATTCGATCATAGTACTCAGGCTCCTGTACCCGCACGAACACTTCCACAATCTCTTTCTCGGTCATGGGTGGCCTTACCCTCGCCGCTTCTTTCCTCCACCTATTGGCAAATTCCCTATAGCTTTCAGTTGGTTTCTACTTCATCTTCTCTAGAGAATACCGATCGGGCACTATTTCAACATTGTAGGCGAATCGGTCAATGAAGTCCTTAGCCAATGCATTCCAACTGGGCCACTGCCTGGTTTCATGTGAAGTAAACCACTCGAGGGCCTCTCCACACAGACTTCGGCTGAAAAGCCGCATCAACAAGGCCTCATCCCTGCCAACTCCCACGAGCTGGTCACAATACGCTCTCAAATGCGCCATAGGGTTGCCCACTCCTCCGAAGGTGTCAAACTTCGGAATTTTAAAACCTTCGGGAAGGTTCAAATCTGGATGGATGCACAATTCTGCGTAGCTAAGTCCGACGGCGTCTGGGATGCACTGCAACTCTTTCATAGCCCTTTTGATTTCTTCCTTTATATCGATCTTCACTTCTTCTTTCGCCTTCCATTCTCTTTCCTGTTCTTCATAGTGATCCAACTCAGAACCGTGCACCTCGTGCTCGGCAGGAACGGGAACTTGGAAGGTGGCTCTTTTTGGGAGGGGTGGAGCTATAGAGGGACTTGGAACGTTTTGGGCAGTCTGGTAGTTTTGTGGGTAGGCCTAAGGATTGGTGTTCTAACTCAAATGCGGATGAAATGCTTGGGTATTGAAGGCAGTTTGAGTTTGGTTTTGATTTTGTGGCGGTGGGGCAGTTTGAGTATTCTGAGGATGGGGTGGTATTTGAGGGTGGTTATTTGGAAGAGGTGAAGGAGTTTGGTAAGATGCAGAAGCATATTGGGGGTTTTGGGTTGTTAGGTCTATCACAGACGGATTATGCACAGGTGTAGAAGGCTGGTTTTGAGTTGGATCTATGTTTGATGAAGGGAAGTAAACTGGAGGTCTTGCATCAGCAATATTAGTACCAAATCCAGGTGGAGGCGCATCCTGTCTCCGTTGCATTTCAACTTTCATTTCACCAATCTGTTGCATCAATTGCATGATCAATTCGTTCTGTTCCACTACAGTGGGCTGAGCCACCACAACGTCAGTAAGACGCCCTTCGTCATTGTTGTCTCCCATAACTATTTTTCCTTTATCTGAATTTGATCGAGGGAAGGAATCTGTAGGACCTTTCGATCTGGGGAAGTAAGGATGATCTGCCAGCTTTATCGACACAGATCAGTAAAAAGGTACCTGAGAGGTAAAAACAACTCAAGGCAAATTTGTTAGTGCATATCCAGAGTACAAAATGCATAATATCGCACATAAAAAAGATAAACACACAAGTCGTTTTGTTTGAGGATATCTTAACCCACGAATAAGGACGGATATATATTTTGAACAAACAGGAATTTGTTTGTTTGGCGCTATCTTGGGAAATCTGAATCACGTTGAGCTATGGTCTTCTTACAGTTGCTTTGCAACGTCCGTTGATCTTATCTTCGTATCTCCGAAATATGGAGGAGAATGAAAATTTTCTATGATAGGGGCCGGGCTGAGAAAGCTGCCTACGTATCTCACGGGGAGAATTCAGGCCCAACGTAGTTCAGATTTTAGGATGAAAATTTTCCATTCATTCTTTCGTTGTGATTACAAGGGAATTGAAAAACAACATTGAGATTTCTAGAAGACCACATTTGGAGATTTCTTGTCTTGTGGCTGCGTCATTCCTTTTCTTTCAGACAGTCGGAAATGGAGGCTTGTAGACGATTTCTTCTTCATCGTCCTCCTCAATCACTTCACGGCCGGGACCACTGTTATCTGCTCCCTGATCACGGGTGAGGTATTTTCTGCCCTTTGGGTCGCTATGGGTCGCCAATTCCTCGTCGAGCGTCGCGCTTCTGTCTAACAACACAGCAGTCTCGATATCTATCTTCGCCTCTCTCGCCTTTCCTTCATGTATCTCCAAACGAAGCAAGTTCAACCTTTTCCTTAGGCTTTCGGTTTCCATCTCAACCTCCTTCTTTCTCTTTATCTGTGACGCCAGATCTTCATCCAAGGTTGTGACCGCAGCTTTGTAGATCGCCGTGGTCACGTCTACTTTGAGTCCTTCCTCCTTAACCTTCTGAATCTCTCGTGTGACTCGCTCGATCTTTCTTCGCAATTCCTCCTCAGTGAGCTCCGTCTGGATGTTCTTGCCTTTGTCCATAGCGGTGATTCAACTTTCCTGAGATGATAGAGCGGTACTTAGGATTTATGGTATGGATTTTGTGTGAGAAACTTGAGACTCAGGAATTTTGGTCGGACAATTGTAATGTTGGCTTCTGTATACTCTTTAGGATTTTGGCTAGGAGTGGGTTTGCGATATCCTCAATCATAGCGACATAACACATAAGCATTCAAACAAATATATCGTGTCCTAAACATGCATGTGACCCTTTTGTGCCAAGGGTAGGCCTAGCGATCTGAAGGATGTATTGCGCCATTTAAACAAGTAATTGTACCCCCGAAACAAATTTCACTAGACGTAATAGAGTTTATCACATGATTAAAATAAAACGGGATACATCTTAGGAAGGGGATGTAGTGCAAGTACACATATAAAATCAATCCCACGCAGGGGAGTTAAGGGTCGACGATCCAGCTCCTTTTCTGGCTTTCTCCACTTCTTCTCGGATAATGCACTTGCTGGTGAACACGTATGGCTCAGCAAACGCAGCTTTGGAAGATGCTGGTACGACTCGTAAGGTGTTCATCTGCTCATCCAAAATAGTGTCCAAACGCATTAGACAAGTCCTTGTGTCAGCTAATTCTTGTGACATTACGGCCAAAACTCT